CGTTGCCCAGCTCCAAAATTCCATAGGATCCGGTTAATTATTCTTAGAATCCGTAGCGGTTTCAGTTTCAATTAGACAAACCCGTTATGATCAGATTACCGATGCTTTTCAGCTAATTTCGAAATTAATTAATTAATTAGTTAGGAACATTGGTATGTTTGAACGGGGTAATAGGTGAAGCGCCTTTGTATTGACAACGTTATGTTCTTTTTGCTCGCCGAGTGAAATATACTCACTTTTCCAGTGCGTTAGTTTGGAGGAAAATTTACTGAATTAGAATGGAATTGAACTGCATGAGAAAATATCTGCAGCAAAGAGAACGCTTATTGAAACGGTGCAATGAGGGGGAAAAGTATTAATTTTAAACAATTTTTGCTGTGCACTCAACTACGTAACGTTGAACGTGAAATCGGATTTGTTTTGGGCAAGTTTATAAACAATTGCAAATTACACATTTTATTAAAATGCAGCCAAACCTTTTGGCGGTTTCTTTAAACCTCAACATTTCTATCGAATTTGAGCGATTTTCCAGCGCCTGGAATAGAATCTTGCGATTAGATCTCTCTCTATGCCACCTTATTAAACCGAAATAAAATAAGCACACAAAGGTGCTTCTATTCTTTGAAATGATTGCAAAAGATATACGATATTCTTTTGCAAAAAATTCCTTAGTTGAGATTTAAACATAAAGCGATAAACATACTTCTATAGTGCTTTTTGAGGTATTTCGCACAATTGCTGTTTACCCGAAGTGAATGTTGTTTCCTTTTTCCACTAGCGGTCAGATGGCCAAAGAAACCTTAGAGATTTAGGTTGGTTACATGCATACTTTTGCCATCCGACAATTGGAATATGATATTTACATATATATGGATCCTTCTATGCAGTGGAAACCCTGTTGGCGGCCAGAATTGAACATTTAAATCGACCGGAAAATTCAATTTCCTTGAACGCACCCGCATATAAATAACTATTCGTAATTAGAGTTGAGTGGGTGTTAAAAGCGCTTACAGTTTTTCCGGTTTCTGGCTAAAAAAGTTAATCGGGCTGAAATCGTATTTGAAAACAATCAAAATGTTGTTCAAAATCAAAACAAATGTTGAACAATCTTTTGCCAACAGACCACACAGTGTTCTCCACACGCCCAAAAACTAAACATGTTTCGAGTGTACGTATATGTACTCTAGTCATCATCAAGGTCCCAGCTTACAAAAAGTTGTAACTCCTAAATTTATAGAAATCGCAACTTCAAATTTCGGTACAGTAAGCAAGAGGGTTTCAACTATAGACCGCGGAAGGTTTATTTGCATTTTATTGCATCTCAAAGCTTCTGATTTGCCGTTGAGCGTGAATCATAACTCTCAAACTGGTGCAAATGCATCAAAAAAGAGGGTTTGAGTTATACATTGGGAAAATGTTGTTTGAATATGAGAATTAACGCATTTCTCAGAAATTCTTGAACTTGAACCTGACACACTAATTTGCAGTGGAACTAAAAAACTCATAACTTTCAAAATAGCGTAAATGGTTACTTGATATTTTGATGCACTGAACAAGAGGATTTGGGGTATAAATTGAGAAAATCTTATTTGAATTTGAGCACCGGCTGATTTTTGAAAAATTCTTGAACCTGCATCTGAAACCTCCTAACTCACAGCGAAACTATAAAAATCATAACTCCTAAAACGGCCCAAATGGCATCTTGAAAATTTGGTGCACTAGCGAAGAGGGTTTGCTATATAGATTGAGAAAATTTTACTTCAACCTGAGCACCGACTGATTTTTCAGAAATTCTTGAACCTGCATCTGAAACCTTCTGATTTTCAATTGAGCTGAAAAATCACAACTTCCAAAATAGTGGAAAACTCACTTTGAAATTTTGGCACACTCAAAAGATAAAATTGAGCTGAAAATGGGCAAAATTTTATAAGAATCTGACCATCGGCTGATTTTTCAGAAACGCTTGAACTTGTACCCGAAAGTCAAGAATCCGCCCAATATGTGGTGCAGATGAACAAAAAATGTTTTAGGTGGCTTGTGTTTTCTTGAGTCAGTGAGTTGTATGCAGAAGCTGTATTAGTGAGCTTTGGAAGGAAAAGCTTTGAAAAAATGAGAAAATTCCAGGAAAACATACAGCTAATAGTTAATAAAAATCGTGCTCTTTACACGACGAAAAATGCTTCAATGACCGTTTTCAGATCCTCAACTAGGGAATTCTTTCCATTTAATAATAAAAAACAATAGAGCACAAGAGAAAATGAATGATAACGCAGTTTCACGTTTAAGATTTTTGCAATAAAATCCCTTTTTAAGCAAAAAACGCGCTTTGGTGGCCGCAATTGAATCACTCTGTATTGTGCACATGCAATGAATTTCCAGCAGTTATTATGAACTTTAAAGAACAATATTTGGACGTAACCGTGGTTGAAAAGGGTGTAGGTAAGTGCGTAAATCGGACCTAGTAGGTGAAACCCCCGATAGATAAAAATGACAGAAAAAGCAAAAAAAGACGTGGGATCTGGGGATAACAAAAAATAAATTCGAGTGGTTAACACAACAACTAAGTTCATCATGATTTATTTTCATTTTTCGGTGTTAAAAATGGAGCAACTTTTATTAGAATCTGAGCATTGACTGATTTTTCAAAAATTATTAAACTTGCATCTGAAACCTTCTGATTTTCACTTGATCTGAAAAAATCATAACTTCCAAAATAGTGGAAAACACACTTTTAAATTTTGGCGCATTACACAGGAGGGTTTGAGCTATAAATTGGGAAAATTTTATTTCAATATAAGCATCGGCTGATTTTTCAGAAATTCTTCAACATGCATCTGAAACATTTTGATTTTCACTTGAGCTAAAAAAGGCATAACTCCCAAAATAGTGCAAATGGCAGCTGGAACTCTTTGTACATTAAACAAGAGGGTTTGAGCTATAAATCGACAAAACTTTATTTGAATGTGAGCATTGGCTGATTTTTCATGAATTCAGAAATTGTTGAAGTTGCATCTGAAAATTTTTGATTTTCACTTGAGCTAAAAAAAATCATAACTCCCAAAATAGTGCAAATCGCAACTTCAAAGTCTGGCTCACTAAACAGCAAGATTTCAGCTAAAAACGGAGAAACTTTTGTTAGAATCTGAGCATTGACTGATTTTTCAGAAATTATTAAACTTGCACAATTCAAGAACGCTCCTGATTGCCAGTTGAGTTAAAGAAAAATTGTAACTCCCAAGTTAATAAAAGTAGCGACTGGAAATTTTGGGGCAGTCGAGAGCGAAATTTGAGCTATAAATACGGAAAATTTTATGAAAATCTGAGCGCCGGCTGGCATTCATGAATTCTTAAATTCATGAAATTCATGAATTCATGAATTCTTAAACTTGCACATGAAACCTCTCGATTTGCAATTGAACTCAAGAAAAAATTGTATCTCCCAAATCCTTGAAAAGTTGGCAAAAAAAATTAAGAGGAAGGTTAAGCTGCAAGTGGCGAAGATTTTATTAAAATCTGATCATCGGCTAATTTTTCAGAAATTCTTGAACTTGCATCTGAAACCTTCTGATTTTGAATTGAGCTGAAAAATCACAACTTCCAAAATAGTGGAAAACGCACTTCGAAATTTTGGCACACTCAAAAGGAAAATTTGGGCTGAAAATGGGCAGAATTTTATAAGAATCTGAGCATCGGCTGATTTTTCAGAAACGCTTGAACTTGTACCCGAAAGTCAAGAATCCGCCCAATATGTGGTGCAGATAAACAAAAAATGTCTTAGGTGGCTTGTGTTTAAAAGCGAACGTTTTCACATTTTGCATCCCATCTGTTTAAAGGTTAGGAATTTCTCATCACACTTCACTGGTAAAAGTTCTGCAAAAGGATGGTCAAAAAGGCCGTAAAAATGGGGAGATTGCGAATTTCCGCCCGTTACTGAAACAGCAGGTTTTATAGCGCCAGAGCCACAATTTTGCTTCTATTTCTTTAGAGGTTAATAATTTTGAAGTAAACCTTATTGCTAATTCATCGTTCTGGAAACGAGCTTCACAAAAGTAGTTAGGACTTAAAGCGTTTTGGAGTCATCAGCGGTTTTAAAGGGTTGTAAAAACTATTAATGTGATTGGGAGTCCAATAGATAAACGGCTCCATTGGTTATCAAAAGAACAATTTCGGATGATCAAGATTTTGAACAATTTAATTAACAATAGTCGGTAATGATTCAAAAGCAGCTCACTGGAAAACTCCTGACCGCCGGTCGCCCACGTTTCCGTTATTGTCCATATTATTTGATTTTCTATCTTGGTTGGGATAACATTTACTCGCACTGTTATTTCAGCTCCAACTTGTCCGAAAACCCTTCGTAATTGCCCTTAGCTCGGCTTCACCGAGTGCCAGCCCTTAACACTAAACCGCATCCCTTATTATTACGTTCAGTTAAGATTCCGAATGTGCATTATTGATTGTATCAATTTTCCGACATCAGAACCTTCTGAACTGATCAAATTGAAGCCGAATTGAAGAAAGTCGAAGCTTTTGAAAGAATAATTGACAATTAAATATCACATTTGTTAATCAGCTCATCAGCGTGATCAAAAGCATGTTCACTTCACATATTATGAGAGCTTAACGTTTCAACTCGACAGTGTTTAATAATGAAATTAATTGCAACAGTGATATTAGATTAACGTGAATTCCCGCCCATTTGCATATAGGGTGATTTAAAATTATGTGGTTATTGGAGCTTGCTTGGAGCTTAGGTGAAGCGCGAGAAAAATATGGAAATTTAGCGTTCTAATCGCCTCGCTGCTACTTTGTAGCTGGTTTCTAACAAAGAAAGAATAATCCAGTGGATCGTTACCGGCAATTTGCCAAAGCCCAGTATGCAAGATTCCACTGAAATGCTTTAAAATTGAATCGAATATTTTAGCAAAAGCCCATTCGAACCGTGGTGTGGCGAAGTGATCGAATCTTTGATCACCCTGTATAATTTTTGCTTGTTTCAGATGCTCGTCCGAAAAGTTCCAGTGATATTCGTGTTCTTGGTGTCCATCTTCATTACAGTCGTAAATGCCGACATGGAATCGATCAAGCGGATACCAAGTTCGTAAAAAAATGTTTAAACTGTGGGGAAATTGCAATTTTTCCCAACTTCAGGAGTTTTTAAAACGCCTTTGCCGCGTTAGTTGGAATAGAAAAACGCAACTTTTCCGTGATTTTCACCTAAAGGCCAACCTGAATGGTTGGATGAAATTGCAAGGTGCCTTGTATGGAATAAAAATAATTACTACTTTTTATTTTTAGGTCATTCCTTCAAGCAAATGATGAGATATGGGCGGTCAAGTGCCAACAATGAAAAAATTAATGTTAATCCTCGAGCGGACTTGTTTTACCTCGGCCCAAGGTATGAAGATTTGCCAATTTAGCGAGTTTTATTGAATTTTTGATTAATTTCCTGTTAAGGTATGGAAAACGAGCTGGGCCAACTTTAGCGAAACTGGACACTGTCTACGATAGCACTTTCATGCCTTGTACATACACGGGAGTTGCGGATCTTTATAGATGCGATACTTCCAGGTAAGGCGAAAAAACACCACATATAAACCCGTTTTAAAGGTTCCAGCTAATTTTCGTAGATTATTGAACTCAATTTCCACTTTCTCTCTCAAACTATGAAAGTTTTTGGTCAACAGTTTGCACTGTTTTTTTTACATAACACGTTCTACGTAAGAGACTGTACATAATATGATGGAGTTTTCGCATATCGCTTTGCGAAACAATCCAATATTTTTCTTCGGGCAACCTTTCGGCTAGATTGTTTAGTGCTCTGCAAGCTAAAAAAATAGGCCGAAACGTTGGCGCCCCAGGAAAACTTTGTTTGTCCTCGCCGAAAATTCCACTAACTCATGTATGGTGTGTTACGTAAGACGTGTCATGAGAATTGTGTGCGAAAAAACCAAATGTGTTTCTCTTGTGGTCAACGTTTCGGCTGGATTTTTTAAGTCTGGGCATCCGCATGCTTTTTCATAGATTCTTGTTGTTGCATATATTTTATTCAATTCTCTTGTAGTTTTGTCTACGATAATGCCTCTGTGTCCATTTACCAAGTTTCCCATCTTCTGTGAGTGTAATTAATATACATAATATAATGGGAAACTGCTCGCTTAAATTTTCACCGGAAATTTACGATTTCAGCACTTTCAATTTAAGTTAACAGCAACTTTAAATTGAGTATCAGTTAGCTGGACTCCGTTTCGCTTATTGTGCCTTAAATGACTTGTTTTCTTTGAGGAGAACGCCTAACCCAATTAGCCACTTTGCTTGCGAAAAAAACACCGATTAAACTTCCCATTACTTAGAATAAATGTTTTTTTTGCAGGTCAACTATGAGGGAAGATCGACGAAAATAAGAAGTTTCACGAATGTAACGCAGCATTAGAGTGTCGAGAGTCACCGCAAGGCTGGAGTGGCTATCGATACCAACCACTTTATATCTTCCTTCATATTCTGCAATTTTTATGTGTAGTTCTAATAAAACTAACTAAATATGTATGTGCGTTAATAGTAAGTAATATAATCTTTCAATAATGGCATTACGTTTTATTACTTTATTTCCTACCTCCCAACAAAACCCCGACATTCTAGCCAAAGTGGCATTTTTAAATAATTCCCATTGGCTCCATTTGCATCCGAGTATTTAACGTTATTATCATCAATGATTAGCAGTTGAAATGGAACAATGTATTTCCTTACTCCATTCAAACACATGCAAAATATGAAACCGAGAACTATTATTTTCCGGGGAACGTAGATAGAGAAGAGCCCTCTGAAATAAATTAGCCGCATAAATTACCTAAAGTGCCTCAATTTCTGACGGTAACATTACTATGTTTCCATATCAATTCTATGGGAATAATAATGGAAAAACTGTTGAAAAATGGAAATTATATTCAATTATTATTCAGATTGAATGAGTATTTAATGATAAAAGTCTCAGGCACTCTCAGGACCGGTTTGGAGCCGGTCGTCAGCTGTGTTTATCCTGATGGGAGCTAACAAGCTCGAAACCGGTTCAAAGGGTGCCTGAATCGAGCACATTCTCAAGTCACAGTCTGAACAAGCTGTATTAGTGAGGTTTGGAAGGAAAAGCTTACAAACAATGAGAAAATTCCAAGAAAACACACAGCTAGCAGTAATAAAAATCGTGCTCTTTACACGATAAAAAATGCTTCAATGACCGTTTCCAGACCCTCAACTAGGTCATTATTTCCATTTAATAATATAAAACAATAGAGCACAAGAGAAAATGAATAACACTGTTTCACGTTTAAGATTTTTGCAATAAAATCACTTTTTAGGCAAAAAACGCGCTTTGGTGGCCGCAATTGAATCACTCTGTATTGTGCACATGCAAGTTCCAGCAGTTATTATGAACTTTAAAAGAACAATATTTGGACGTAACCGTGGTTGAAAGACGGTTGAAAAGGGTGTAGGTAAGTGCGTAAATCGGATCTAGTAGGTTAAACCCCCGATGGATAAAAATGGCAGAAAAAGCAAAAAAAGCCTGGGATCTGGGGATAACAAAAAATAAATGGAAGTGGTTAACACAACAAGTTAGTCCATTATAATTTATTTTAATTTTTCGGTGTTAAAAATGAAGAAACTTTTATTAGAATCTGAGCATTGACTGATTTTTCAAAAATTATTAAACTTTCATCTGAAACCTTCTGATTTTCACTTGAGCTGAAAAAATCATAACTTTCAAACTAGTGGAAAACGCACTTTTAAATTTTGGCGCATTACACAAGAGGGTTTGAGCTACGAATTGGGAAAATTTTATTATAATATAAGCATCGGCTGATTTTTGAGAAACTCTTCAACTTGCATATGAAATATTTTGATTTTCACTTGAGCGAAAAAAAGCATAACTCACAAAATAGAGCAAATGTCAGCTTGAACTCTTTGTACATTAAACAAGAGACTCTGAGCTATAAATGGCTGGCTCACTAAACAGCAAGATTTCAGCTAAAAACGGAGAAGCTTTTATTAAAATATGTACATTGACTGATTTTTCAGAAATTATTAAACTTGCGCAATTCAGGAACGCTCCTGATTTTCAGTTGAGCTAAAGAAAAATTATAACTCCAAAATTAATAAAAGTGGTGCCTGGAAATTTTGGGGCAGTCGAGAGCAAAATTTTAGCTATAAATATGGAAAATTGTATGAAAATCTGAGCGTCGGCTGATTTTTCATTAATTCTTGAACTTGCACCTGAAACCCCTCGATTTGCAATTGAACTCAAGAAAAAATTGTATCTCTCAAATTCTTGAAAAGTTGGCAAAAAAAATCAAGAGGAAGATTAAGCTGCAAATGGCGAATATTTTATTAAAATCTGAACATCGGCTAATTTTTAAGATATTTTTGAACTTGCACCTGAAATTCAAGATCACACCTGATTTGCAGTTGTGCCAGGAAAACCATCACAACTCCCAAATTAGCGGAAGTGTGTACTTGAAATTCAGACATAGCGAAGAGAGAACTTTCGGCTAAAAATGGTGGAATTTCTATTAGAATCCCAGTTT